GTAGATTCTCAAAGAATTGGTTAATTTTTAAATGAAGCGATAGATTTCGCAGATAATTATATTTATTTCAAAATTAGTTTTGCAACATATTTTTTTAAATCTTTACTTACAAATATAGGTATTTGTTCAATTAAAAAAATGAGCTTGTGAAGGCGGCGTTTAGAATTATTTTTTGTATATTCCAAGTTCTTCCTCTGCTAACTCTTCTTATTTATTTAATTTCTAAAATTGTTCCTCTTCTCGTCAGTGTAATCGATTTCTAAAGCAAATGATCTCTCAGTGTAATAAATGTGTTCTTTTTAATTAAAAATGTTTTCTCGATAGTGGATCCTGAAATCGACTGTACCGTAGCTTGTAATTTGCGCTTATATGAGCGTGCGTTAGTGAGATTCTGGTTTCGATCTGCGGTTCTAACAGTGTTATTTGACTTTTCTGTTAACAAATTCTCAGAAGCAGTATACATAGGGTTTGGAAATATGCCCAGCAAACGGCAATATACACGCCTTCAATTAGTTCGGACCTAAAACATATGTAGCTGGCGAAATTTGGATATAATTCTCCTATACCGAGCTCTTCGGGTATATACAGGTGTGAGTCTATGTTTGTCTACGTATGTTTGTACATTTCTATACGTCGTTATATATTATGGCTGTAATATGAATGGGTTGGCTCATCCGGGGAAGGACCACGCTCTCACAGAACTACAATGTAAAATAGCAGTCTATCTCTATCAGCCACATCATTCACTACCATTTACCATTAGGTCGACTGTGTGCTCGTTTGTCACCCTTATCTCACAAAAAAATGTCTGTACATATATTCACTACTGAGATAGAGGAACAGGGAACATCATCTGAACTAATAAATCACATTAAAAATCTGTCTTCCTCTAAGACTTGTATTAGATTGCAGAGCATTGAGTTTTCAGAACTGTGCTGTGACTTTGTTCGCAGAGCTCCATAAGTATTTTTTGTAATATTTATTAAATCAAATTTTAGTATTTGTTACTCTAAAACGTCATATACACGGTACATCTTGTCGTACATCCCGCCAAGATCATGCACGATGCACGATGCAAAACGATAATGAGTAGGCTTTACGTACAGTAATGACGTACGTCAAGTGACGTACGTTAAGCCTATTCATTGTCGTTTTGCATCGTGCATCATGCATGACCTTGGCGGTCAAGATGCACCGTGTATAAGATGTTAAAGGAACCTCCACTCTAAACCCCACTACACTTGTAAAGTAACAGTTACCAAATTCCTACAGTTAAAACCTTACTCTGAAACAGAAGATATGTTAAAAACAATGCAATATATAACGAATGGAATGTAAAGGAAATGTTCATATTAAAATTAATGTATTTGAAAGGTTCTTAACGATAAGTACGAATGATATACACGCGCACACGCTCACATACACTCACTCACACACACACACACACACACACACACTCACGCGCACGCACATACACATACACACGCACACGCACTGATTCTTAACTAACCTTACCTACTTTAATACTAACAATTTTTATACTAGCAATATATGAATCATATCCGAATGTAGGGGATCGGAACACTGTAATATCATATCTCTTACTCTTTTTAAATAATGGCTTTACAATCGCCAATTTTAATGTTTCGGTAAAAGTACCACATGAAAATGACAAGTTAATTAAACATGTCAAAATAGAGACTAATTCATTTACAGACTTCTTAATTATTCTCATATTAATATCGTCATATCCTTCCGAGTTAGTGTTATTAAGAGATAGGATTTCTTTTTTAACCTCTTTTTCTGTCATGGGTTTAACAAACATTGAGTTAGATAGTGATTTTTCATTACTAGTATAGCTGTTTAGTTTATTCATTATTGTCAAATTATTAGGTAAATCAGTAAAATAATTATTGAAAATCGAAGCTATGTCAGTAGGATTTTTAATCAGTTCATTATTTATTTTCAAATCCGTAACGCCATGGTCGAAGTTTGAATTTGAGATCGCATTTTTTATTACAGACCATGTAGCTTTACATTTATTTTTGCTTTTGTGTATGAATTTTATAGTAGAATTTCTTTTCAATATTTGAATACATTTTTTCAAAATCTTTGAATATGTGATGTAACTTTTCTTATTTAATTCTGATTTATTCCTGTAGTATCTATATCGGAGTAATCTTTTAGTTTCACAACTTTTTAAACCTCGACTTATCCAAATGTTTGTAGTATGATTATTATTTATCATTATTCTAATAAGCGGAAAACATAAATTATAAATTAAACATAGAAATTCATGAAATGTGTTAAATGCGTCATTTATATCAGTCTGCACGTATATATCAGACCAAGATATATTTATAAGACATTCCCTAAATTTCCGTATGTTCTCAGCGCAATAGTCTTTTTTGTAAACAAAAAACTTAGATTGTAGTTGTGACATAGATCCTGAAAACAATTAGTAATATATAGTATAGTTTGGTTTATTTATTTTTAACGTAATTAATATAAAATATAACTAATAAAACAGAAAGAAATCTTAAAGATTAGATTTTCCTAAGAAATTATCGTCGTCGCTATGAAACTCGTCAAATATTTTACCTCACTGTGACGGCATAGATAAAGGCATGGATCACGATGCGGACGGGAAAAGGAAACCGCCCAAGCGTAGTCAAGACCTGCAATAGAAAAATGATGATTTTTGTCCAGCTACAAATTAAATATAAAAGAGTTTTCTCTGAGTCAACGGGAATGACTGAATATACGGTTTTTATTGAGAGTCGTAAAGAAGGAGTTAAACCAGGACCGAGAGAAAACAAATACCTGTAACTTACATATTCAGTCTTATTTTGATGGTTATCAGGCGAGCATTGACTGTTACATTCTACCTAGAATTACAAATCCACTGCCTAGCTCTTATATAGATATGCATCAAATATCTATACCGCCAGATCTTCAATAAGCAAATTCTACCTTTAACTTATCTTCAGTTATCGATATTTTCGTATGCGAAGTCTTTTGGGACGTCTTAGGTTCAAACTTGATAAGTTTAGGTAATAATCAACCCAAGCTTCACTCATCCAAATTGGGTTGGCTTATTTCAGGCTGTGTGTATCAAACACCTCCTTGTATTCAGCCTTCTTTGTGTCATTTCACGTCACAAGAAGAGCCTGAACAGCTTACACGCTTTTAGGAGTTAGACTCCATGTCTTCTGTGTATGGTTTCTCTACGGAAGAGCAGATGTGTGAAAATAAATTTCAAGAAACGACACGTCGCGATGCAAATGGCCGCTTCATAGTCACTATACCATTAAAAGATTCGCCTGATAGCTTAGGTGACTCTTATGTCATGACCAAACGTCGGTTTCTCAAATTAGAGCGTAAGTTTGAACGCGATTTTACTTTTAAACAAAGATATCTTGCATTCATTCATGGGTACATACAACTTAATCACATGTCTGAAAACAAAAGATGCCGCACCATGGTGTTGTCCGCGAGCCGAGTACTACCACAAAACTTTGTGTGATGTTCGACGCTTCGGCTGCAACTACTTCAGGCAAATCCTTCAATGATATTCAAATTGTATGTCCAACTGTCCAGCTGGATTTGCTCTCTATTTTTTTAAGATTCAGACAACATAGGTTTGTTGTAACGGGTGACATTGAAAAAATGTATAGGCCATTTTAGTGGAGCCTCATCAGCGTCCATTTCAACAAATCGTTTTTAGGTTCGATTTTTCTGAACCTCTTAAAACCTATACTCTGAATACAGTAACATACGGCACTGCTTCATCGTATCTTGCCACAAGGTGTTTAGTTCGCTTGCCGATGAGTGCTCAGACTCCAAAGTTAGTGACTCTTTTAACACATTCTTCGCTAAAGAAAATATCTAAAACATTTAAAATTCACAATTTATGCTCTATCTTTACAGCTGAATGTTTATCTATGCAATCTATTTATCTATATTGTACATAAAAAACATTGCGAATTCACAGTTTATTGTAACTGATTCAAAGAGTGTGATATTAGCTATTGAATATAACAAAATAGATTACAAGAAAAATTATATTATTTATAATATAAAAAACTTACTAAACAATCTTAATAAAATAAGGAAGACTGTTACCTTTATGTGGGTCACTTCACACTCTGGGATAACTGTGAACGAGGTTGCAGACATTGCTACTAGAGATGTATCCTCATCAACATGTTCAGATCACTCCTCAATGCTGGAAATACCATTTACAGACATATATGCCTTGTTAAGCAAGAACTTGAGATCCTTATGGAAATGATACTGGGAAGAAATAAGCAAGTCCAAAGGAATTTGGTATTATGAAATACAAAAAAAAGCCCGCCAGCCACTCCTTCGTACAACAAAAAAAAAAAAAAATAGAAAATTCATTACGGCTGTAAACAGAATGAGATTTGGGCATAGCAGAGTGGGCAGAATGGGCAGGCCACCTGCATCGTTTGGGAATGAAAGAAAATGCAAATTGTGAATATTGTGGCGACACGAAAGGAGACCTAAAACATTTGGTTTTTCAATGTTGTCAATTTGGTTTGAATAGATTACTCCTCATTAACTCCATTCAATATATTAACAATTATAGAGTTCCTGATACTCTTCAAAGTCTATTAGCTGATGAAAAATTCTTCCGACCATTATATTTCTTTATTTCTGGTGTTCAAGATATATAAAAATGAAAACAACGTGATATTATTCAATAGTGAAAATGTAAACAAACTCTTTGTGAATCATTGTGAAAGTGAATTTTTGATGAATGTATCGTTCTTGACATTTTTAATTTCTAAAGATAAATATACATTGTAACTTCAGGCTCAGAAGGATTAGTTCCTGTACAGGACAGTTACTATACTCTTTGGACTAGACCTAGAACCCAGAGCCGTAAAGGCAGTTATAAAAAAAAAAGATTTTGACGTTTTATGCATTTTGTTTGATGTTCTTTTCGAGACGATAGGCTATAAGAAATAGTCACAATGGTATTTTTACTTTACTTTTATTAATAAATCATTTAAGAAAATGCCTCTCAATCGATGTGAATTAGTGTACTGCTTTTCTGGAATGTAGAATTTAAATTGATTTCTGTACTAAATGTTATAATTTTGCATTTTAGTCGCTCGTGATACCGGACAAATTCCAACATATTCTTCGTATTATGAATACGAATATCGACGGAAAACGCAAGGTTATGTTTGCCATGACCGCTATTAAAGGAGTCGGTCGAAGATACTCTAACATTGTCCTGAAAAAAGCTGATATTGACTTGGATAAACGTGCTGGTGAATGTACAGAAGAAGAGGTAAATAAATTGTTCTTTACATTTAGATACCTAATTTTCGTTTATGTACTTTAAAATACTTCGATTGTAAATTTATAATCAATTCATTTCAGGTTGAAAAAATTGTGACCATCATGTCAAACCCCAGGCAATACAAAATACCTGATTGGTTCTTGAACAGACAGAAGGATATTGTTGACGGCAAATACAGTCAGCTGACTTCTTCTAACTTGGACTCCAAGCTTCGTGAAGATTTGGAAAGATTAAAGAAGATACGCGCTCACAGGGGTATGCGTCATTACTGGGGTCTCCGTGTGCGTGGTCAACATACTAAAACCACTGGTAGAAGAGGAAGAACTGTTGGTGTATCCAAAAAGAAGTAAATAATAAATATATGAGTTCTGTATACCTTCTTTAATTTTATCCAATTTTGGTTATATGAAGTTTTTAAAATTAATTATTTAATTATAATATTAAGTAGATTTACGTTTTGAGTTTCTTATCGATTTTAATGTGATATAAACAATTGCTTAACTGCCTGCCAAGTGTCGTAATTATGCTAATAGAAAACAATATTCAGCTCAGATATATTGTTTTTATCGGTGACCTCTGATCACTGCATTAGTCAAGTAGGAAAATGTATGTACTTTTTTCAATAAGCTTACAGTGGGCCAGATGTAAAATATACAGACTAGAGATGGGCAGCGGTGTTTCAGGTGTGTATGTTGTTACTTCTGCAATTGTCAATCTACTCGTGAAGTGAGTTTGCTGCAAAATCCTCCCTACATCAGGAGAAGCCCATGTCAAATTGTGGACTTTTAATGGTTGATAATGAATGACATTAGTATCCAATACTTTTGATAGAGATTAATAGTGTTCTGCAATCCAATGGATGACAAGGATTGACAGATCAATTCATAGAGGAATGTTTATTATTCTCAATTTACATTTCTGTGCATTTCACAACCCAGAATATTTTTTTGAAAATAAAGAATATCCAACTAATTATTTTCAGATATTTCTTTCCTCCTGCCCGGCAGGTCTATACTGTGTTGTAGATCCTGGGCTTAAATTTCAGACAGATCCAAATTTATGTAAAAGGCTAGTACACTACTAGGTTTCATCTTTACATTTGTTGTCATTGTCCTCATATATCTTAACATTGTGAGGAAACTTGCATGTCTGAAAAAAAAAATTTTCTAGACATGTGAAGTTCACCAACATGCATTGGGGCAGTACTGCAGACACTTCCTTGCCCTAAAACCGTCTCAGAAGTGAGAGGTGGCTTGTGCCCAGCTGTGGGATGTATATAGGCTGTAACTTTATCATTGGGAATCATAGATGTTGATATCAACCAGAAATATCAGTTTGTTATCAGAATTTATTTATTTACACTATTCGGCCCATTCCTGTTTTTGGTGTATATTAATGACTTACCTCACCTTGTAGGGGATAGTCATGATATAGTATTATTTGCTAACGATACTTCCTTGATTTTTAAACATAAACGTCAATCATTTAAATGTGATGAAGTGAATAATGCTATATCAAAATTAGTGCATTGGTTTAAAGTTAATAATCTGCATTTGAACGGAAATAAAACTAATTGTGTTAAATTTACAACAGCGAATGTTAAAAATCTGAATACCAATGTGTTTTTAAATGGGGAGGAATTGAGCCCTGTTGTATCCACTGTTTTTCTTGGCATCACTCTTGACGCAAAGCTCCAGTGGGGCCCCCATATATCCAAATTAGCAAGCAGACTAAGTTCTGCAGCCTATGCTGTAAAAATGATTAAGAGGTCTCACTAGTGTAGAGACAGCTAGATTAGTTTATTTTAGTTATTTCCATAGCATAATGTCTTATGGGATTTTGCTATGGGGAAATGCGGCTGATTCAGAAACTATTTTTGTTTTACAGAAGAGGGCCATTAGAGCTATTTACAATCTAAAACCGAGTCTCTTAGAGATAAATTTAAAGAAATTAATATATTAACTTTGGCCTCTCAGTATATTTACGAAAATTTAATGTATGTTTACAAAAACAAAGATAGTTTTAGTAAAAAAAGTGATATACATTCTGTAAACACTAGGAACAAACACATGCTAGTGATGCCAGTTTCTCGACTCCACAGAGTCAGTAATTCATTCTTGGGGCAATGTATACGCTATTACAACAAGGTCCCGGAAAGTGTACAGGTTCTCTCTATTACCAAGTTTAAATGTTTTATTAAGCTGAAACTATAAAAAGGGTTATTATAGTATAAATGAATACATGGTTGATAATAACCCCTGGGAATGAGGTGGTCGCTTCCAAGCAGTTTCTAAAATAAATTTTGTAAATAGTTTGTAATCATTTATATTGTAAAATTTATTTTTAAAAAAAAGTCCCGCTGGGTTTCTTGCTGGTTCTTCCCAGGACAGGGTTTTTTTCGAAACAGCGGTAAAGTAAAAAATGACTTTCAATAAGAATTACACATGTAATGTATATTGAATAAAAAATATTCTATTCTATTCTATTGCACCTTAATAAAAGGATTACAAAGGGTGGACTTAATGCCTTTAGACATTATCTCCCAGTCGACCCGGGACATGTTGAAAATTAAGTGATAGGTGACAAAATAAAATGAACAATAGAATAAATCAAGGAAAAAACTACTGATAAACTTAAAAATAAACTAATATTGTATATATATATATATATATATATACAATAAACTTATGTGCTATAAAATATAATACAGACAATATATTATATTTACAAACAAATACATAGATACATAAATATATACATATTATAAATTCAACTAGATACACCTATAAGTAAAATAACCAAATTGACCATATTAACTATCATCTAATATCTTCATAAAGTGCTTATGTACCAATCTTTTAAAGGCAGTCTTATTAGATGTTTTTCTGACATCATCAGGCAAGGAGTTCCAGAGCAGTGCAGCCTGAATGGTGAAGGATTTACTAACAAAATTAGTAAAATGTAATGGGATTACTTAGTTTATTATTATATGAGGACCGCAGTTCTATCATGCGTTGAGGAAATATACTGAAATTTCTCCTTGAGATAAGAAGGATATATTATAAGAGATAGAGACTAAGATGACTAACAAGACTAGATGGAGTGATGACCTGGTAAGATAGATAGGAATTCGATGGATGCAGGTGGCTCTGGACCATGCTTTGTGGCATTACTTGAGGGAGGTCTATGTTTATCAGTGGACTTGTGAAGGGCTGTTGTAATGATGATGAGCTTAGCTACTACTGTTCTTACTGTTTCTATTAATATAACTGATAAAACAAGACCTTTAGAAGTAAAATAAATATTAGTAAGTAGAATAAAAATAGTTTGTTTTATCTTTCATAGTTTTTAAATAAATTTAAGCTTGAACATTACATAATACAAACTAACTTTGTATGAAGGGTCATTACTAAGACGAATCTTTTAATCAAAGATTTGTCTTAGTGAAAGTTCGAATCTTTACAAATCAAGTTTTACCAAAAATAAAAACATTCTAGGTGTCAGATTCATTGCAAAAAATAAATAAATCATACAAGGCCACATAAATCTCAATCTAAGGACCAGTAATTTTGTGTGGTTCTATTAAGTGATCTAGATTGATAACTTATATGAATTTACAAATGATAAGTACAAAGTGACAGTAGTCTGGAAGTTTGCACATGTACTTTTTACAGTCAACATAATGCAAGCAAAGGACACATATTTATACAATAGATAATGACATTTAATCAACAAACTAATTATAAAGAATGTTCATTGTAGGTTTCTACTCCTGTTCATCAAAGGGAACTATAAATTAATGTGTAAATCAAGGTTGTGCTTGAATATGTAACTATCTGTAAATGATTAAAAAAAATATTTGCTACATTCCTTTAATAACTTGCAATGGGTTCAACAGGTGGTTTAAAATAAATATGAACTATAAAAGTAATGTATTTAATTCAGTATATTATTATATTTATTTGTGAAAAGACATTATCAATACAATAAAAACTTATTAAAATATGTGGTTTATTCCTAAATAAATTGAAGCATAATAAGGTACCACCTATCCAGTAAAGAAAAGAATTTTGTGATGTAATTATTGGCATTTGATTAATTTATTATGATTTATTTTTACACAACAAATTATTTACAAAATACAATCAAATTAACTATTCATATTGTGCAATTAAAACCATCATGTACACTCCAGCTAAAAGAGCCATTATTTCTTTGATAGACTGTGAAAATTTATTATTTGATCCTTCTAAAAGTTCTGGAATTACAGACACAGTTGCAATATAAATAAATCCACCTGCTGTAAATGGTAATATGAGAGATGAAACAAGCCCTTCGCTGGAACCTTGGAGATAAATTGAAATAACTGTACCAGAAATAGCTCCAAACGCTGTCAACAGCTGTAACATCATAGCTTTTCTTCGAGAGCAACCAGACTGCACAAGGATAGCAAAATCACCTATCTCATGAGGAATTTCATGTAATAAAATTGTGACAGTTGTAATGAAGCCAATGCTTTGTCCTGCTATAAAAGAAGCTCCAATAGCTAATCCATCTGTAAAATTATGGGTAAAATCAGCTGCCAAGTTTAGGTATCCTGCAATTTTTATTTCATCTTTTTTAGATTTGTTCAGTTTCTTTGATTTATCACTGTCCTTCTTTTTATCTGTACTATGAGAATGACCATGGCCGCCACTGAATAGCCGAACTGATTTTTCTACAACAAGAAATGTGATAATTCCTCCAAGAACTCCTAGACCAACTGTCATATCATGAGGTTCATGTTGGTCTTCTCCATGTGAATGACTATGGCTATGACTGTGACCACTTTTACCATCATGTGGTGTAAGGGCATGTGGAATCAAGTGTAAAAACGCATCACCAAGGAGGCCTCCAGAAGCAAACGACAATAATATTTTCAAGAGCGGTTGTTTTTCAACACTTCCATCAATAGGAATGAAAAACAATATAAAAAAGGGTACTATACTTATAAATACTGTAGAACTTAAAGCTTTAACATATAAATCATAGTCAGATTGTGGTACTTTTTCTTGATACATTTTGTATTTTTCGTTTGCACTTGCAGAATATTTGTAAGCAGTCGGTTCATCCGCACTGGAATGTGAATGAGCATGAGAATGTCCTAATACATTAACTGAAGCCCATAAGGAAATAAAAAGAAGAAAATAAATCCTATTTATGAAAGACATTCTAACTTTTGAACAATTTATTTAAATTTTTATTAACTTATTAATGTGTTCACATCACAAATACACGTGCCAAGTGCTAACTGCAACTGCCAAAACCCAAAACAATGCCAATTACAAACGTATTGATAAAGTTATCACTT